TTTTAAAGTAAATATAATATTTTAATTAATCCTAATATGTTATGTGATGCATGACGGTAAGTTCGGGTGTTAACACTCGAGACTAGGCCGCTAATTGTTATTGAATATTATGTTGATTGATGATTATGGTAATGATTATTGATTGATGATTATGATGATTAAATCTTGATAAATGTTCTAATTAAAAATGGAAATTATGAATGATTAAATCATAATGAATATATTGATGTTTGTGAAAATAATATGTATTGTCAAGGGTATCTAGAAGACCTCTAAAATATACCCATATTAATGTTGATTTGAAAGGTATCTAGAAGAACTCTAAGATATACCTATATAAGTTAGGCCTGGCGAGTATGATGCCCGGTGGCTAGGGTTAAAACGTACGTACGAGATCCAAGAACCAAACTTGAGTACCTACTCGTTTGGGGGTACCACCCACCCAACAGTGAACACTACGTTGTCGGTTTTTGGTTGGCCTTAAGTGAAGGTAAGTTTAAGATTTCCAAAACCCTTTTATCTTAAACTAGGCCTAGCTTAAGGATTATTATGAGTACTCTGTATACTAGAATATAGTTTAATTAGTTAAACTAGAATTCATTTAAGGGTTGACAAATATTAAAGTTATTGGCCTTAGACTAAGAATAGTTTAAGGATATTGTTGAATGACAAATGATGAATATACATGTTGAATGATTGAATAATGAATGTTGAAAATCGAATACTGATTATTGAATATATGAACTGAACATTATGTGCATGATATCAAATGGTTGATTATGAATTGAGATTCAATTTATGTGGATGTTCGACGCATTAGATATGCTTACTCAGCTTTACCGCTGAGCGTGTAGTGTGTTTTATTTGCTACACGCAGGTCAATAGAATAATGTGACGTGATCTTGGAGGCAGACGGAGGCGAGATAGTCAGAATGGATGTGATGGTTTTGAATTAAAGAATATAAATAAATTATGTTTGTGATTATTATTTGTTAAGCTTCCGCAATATTGAAAACTCTGTACTGTTTATGATATGAAAAATATTATTATGATAAATAAAAGTATTTGAAAAGTTTTAAATTTTACGATTACCAAGTTAATACTTTAGTCCAAAACGGGCTGCAGACCTGGACGGATTAGGGTGTTACAGATCCGCGCTAGTCTTCCGATTTGGATGACTTAGCCTTCAGCGGGTTGTAGCGAGACATCCGGTTATCATGTAGTGTTCCGAATTAGAGGATCTTCAATTGCTTTGAGAAATCCTTATTTGTCTCTGACATTTCCGATCAAGATATCCAATTTCCATATCACAGAATTTGATTAAGTCTTCAACCATTGACATCAAACCACAAAGTGATATCACAAATTTATTGGAAATCTCAAGAACTCGGTTTTAAAAATATTTCTAAAAAGAAAAATTACATTGAATAATGGGGGAGACCTAAAGTCCCTCTTAGAATCTAAATACATCATCATCAAAATCTATAATATTTTTCCCAACACTTCTTCTATGGTCGTGGCTTTGGTATACCACTCAGCTGGAAGAGACCTCACTAACCTTACATTCTTTTCTTTGGGAGAAAGAACGTGGTTAAGTGATGCAAGATCATTTAAGATTTTGTGAAATCTTTCATCCAGCATATCAAATGATTCTCCGGGAAGCATTTTGAAGCTTTTGAACTTCTCGAGCAGGACCTCTATCTTCTGCTTTCTCTGATCCTCTGATCCCTCACATAACTTCCCAAGACCTTGCCATATCTCCATGGCAGTCTTGAGATGCTTGATCTTGGAGAAGGTGATGGGATCAAGTGTCTTGAAGATAGCTGCTTTGGCGACGTTGTCCAGATTGTGCGTTTTGCAATCTCTATCATCCCATTTCTCCTTGGGCTTTGGAATGTACTGGACTACATCAAGAATGGTTGGATTCCTCTCAGGATTCTACATTTGAATCTTCAAGTGTCCATCTTCAAGCACCATCTACATGCAGTCATGTAGGGCATAGAGGTGTGCTTCCATCATGATCTTCCAATCATCATAACCTAGAAGAGAGAACTTGGGAAAACCGTGACCCATATTGTTCACCATTATGATCGCTTCTCTTTAATCTAAACGTAGATAGTGAGAAGTTAGGTTTGATACCAATTGGTGGTCCCAAAGTGGTGAGATACAAAGTCTAGAGGGGGGTGAATAGACTTTGTTTCAATTCAAAAACTTTTTCGTTTCTGATGGGGAATAACCCCACACCGGCCTAAGACGGACATCAGCATAAATTTCCTAAGTATCGGTTTTGAACGTTCCTGCTCGGCTCTGCGCTCCGCTCGTCCTTCCTGCCCGGCTCTGCGCTACGCTCGTCCTCCCTGCTCGGCTCGGGCAACCAAGCCGAGCCCGAGCCCCGCGACAATGACATGCGGAAAGCGATGTTCAACGGAGACTTGAGGAAAGCGATAGGATGAAAGGGACAAGACGTAAGGACAGGTGACGTCCGCTAGACGACGGGCATCGATCAGAGAGCTTTGACTTAGCTTATTGTACCCCCTATAAAAGGGGTGGCACCCCTCATTGTAATGGATCCGATTTTTGAAATCAATATACTCCTACTTTGCATTCTCTCTCTCTAAAACTTCTATTATTTCATACTCTCGGTGGTTTGTAGCCATCAAATTGGTGCTTTCATTGAGAGTAGAGGAACATACTCGTAGGTTAACTCCCGAACACGAGAATGGTGCAAACAAGGAGCAACGTCCCCACCACCAGCCACGTTGTTGGCGAGGAGAACGCGCCGGGCAGCGGCAACGGCACGGGAGGTATCGGCTCGACTCCAGACGCGGTCCAAGCGCTGTTCGGCTTGGGGGTGACTGCGGAGCAGCTCCAGGCAGCCGTTGCGGCACTTTCCGCCATGGGTGGGAACGTGCCCGGCGCCAGAGTTGGCAAAGCTCCGCCCGGTCTCCATGCCGAACACGCTGCCACTTCCCAACACAAGGGGAAGAAGACCCGTAGGAGCAAAAGGAGGCCCGGCAAAGCCCCGGTGTTTGAGGAGGTGATAGTGGAGGACATTCTCGAAGGAGAAGACGATGAGTCCAGCGAGTGCCGGGTGTCGGCCTTCAAGCGCTTAGGAGGTGAAGAGACCCGGGTGTCGGCCTTCGACAGGCTCGACCACAGACCGGGAGGTCACCCGGGCAACCTCCGCCGACAAATAACTGAAGGTAGGCGGAGACATGCTGAGGAGTCCGCGACCCTGGATGCACGCTCGGCGAGGCCCGAGCGGAGCGGAGAAAGACGGGACGAGCGCACCCAGCGTCGCCATAGTCCAACAAGAACTGAGAAGACAAGGACCTCTGACCAAGGGGTATCTCGGCTCGCTCGTGAGACTGCCGAGCTCAAGCGCCGAGTGGAGACCAGGGCTCCCTACAGCCAGTCCATCTTGCGGACAGTAACCCCTTTCACTCCGAGGGTTATGTTGGTTCCGCTTCTGCCAAACTTCCGGCCGTGGCAGATCAAGGCCTACAACGGAACGACGGACCCCCAAGATCATTTGTCTAAGTTCTATGCTTCTATGGAAGCGGCGGCAGCCCCGGACGAGGTCAAGTGCCGATGCTTTCTCGCGACGCTGGAGGGCTCCGCGTGCGATTGGTTCAACCGGCTCCCGAAGGGAACTATTGACGATTGGGATACGCTAGCACAGAAGTTCTTGACGCATTTCGCAGCCAACCGGAGGCAGAGGCTACCTTACTCCCACCTGCTCAACATCTGCATCCGCAAAGGAGAGAAGATCCGCGACTTCATAACCCGGTGGGAGAAGGAAGCAAGAGACGTGCACGGGGCGGATGACCAAGCGTTGGTGGCCATGTTCCAAGCAGCCCTTCCTCGTGGTGAGGTGAGGAAGAAGCTCCGCAAGAATCCTCCCCCCACGTACCAAGAAACCTTGGCGTGCGCTAAGTTCTTGGCCTCGGAGGAATTCGATGATGCCCCTGACTCCAAGGCCGCGCCGACCAAGCGAGCTCCCGCATATTCAGAGGAGATAGCGAAGAAGATGAAGAAGAAGAAAGACCACACTGTGGGCCCGAGGACGCCCTCGGCGGGTGTGTACTCCGTGGGTGCGCCCGCGGGGACGGGTCGAGAGCTGGCCCTCTCCCCGCTCCCGCACGTAGAGACCTATGCGGTGTCCAGCGGCGCCAAGTACTGCGAGTATCACCGCAACAACACTCACAACACTAAGGAATGCTTCACTCTTCAGAAGGAGATGCAGCGACTCATCGCCCGAGGGCCGGCTCTGCGAGACGATGGAGCAGCCTCTTCCCGGGGTCCACCAGAAGGGAGAACATGGAGGAAGCCGACCGAGCCGGTCGCGGTGGCCACGCAAGCGAGGAACCCCGAGAAGAGGCACATTGGGCGAGAGTGTGATGATCTAGACAAGGACGAAGCCCAAGGATATCCGGTGGGGTTCATCCATTGAGGAAATATCGGCGGGGACTCCGCCGCTCAAAGGAAGAGGTGGAAGCACATGGACTTCGTCGCCAAGGTCCAACAGGCGCCGACGCCCAAGCTCGGAAGACGAGAGCCAATCCAATTCACGGAGAAGGATCTACCGGACACGCCGAGCCCCCACCGGGACGCCTTAGTCGTGAGGATGGAGATCAACAACGCCATAGTGCACCGCACCTTGGTGGACACGGGAAGCTCGGTCAACATAATGTATGAGAAGACCTTTCAAGACCTCGGCTTGGACCGCAAAGATTTAAGGCTCGTGCGCACTCCTCTCTCCGGGTTCACGGGGGACTCCATCGAGGCTGAAGGAGTCGTCACCGTGCCCGTGATAGTAGGGGATGGTGCGCACAAGTCCAGGTGTAGGATGGAGTTCATGGTTGTGAGCATCAGCTGCGCGCACAACATGATCTTAGGACGGCCCGGCCTTGAGGACTTGGAATGTGTGATCTCCCCATACTACTTGTGCATGAAGTTCCCCACTCCTTCGGGAATCGGGGTGGCGAGGGGAGACCAAAAGTTAGCTCGATCATGCTATGTCCGAATCACAAAGAAGTTGCCAAGAGATGAGACGTTGGTCGTGCACGCACAAGAAGAAATGCGGAAGCTGGAAGCACGGCCGAAGGCCGAGTCCGCTGAGGAGGTCGAGGAAGTGCCGCTCGACCCTCGGGCACCCGAGCGGAAGGTGAAGGTCGGTGTGAGCCTGACCGGGGGCCAGCGGAAGCGCTTAGTGGACGTGCTCTCCGCCTACCACGTGATCTTTGCATGGGGACCCGGGGATATGCCGGGGGTAGACCCCAAGTTCATATGTCACCGCTTGGCAGTCAACCCGGAGGCTAGGCCGGTGAAGCAGAAGAAGCGGTTCCTCTCATCCGAGCGGAGGGAGTTTGTTTCCAAGGAGGTGGCCACCCTCCAGAGCATTGGGCATATCAGAGAGGTTAAGTACCCGGAGTGGATGGCAAACATGGTGCTGGCACCCAAGGGAAACACTTGGAGGATGTGCGTGGACTACACCGATCTAAATAAGGCCTGCCCTATGGATCCGTTCCCACTCCCGAACATAGACCAGCTGGTGGACGAAACAGCGGGCTGCGAGCTCATGAGTTTCATGGACGCCTTCAGCGGGTACCACCAAATCCGGATGCACCCCGAGGACGAAGAGAAGACATCTTTCACTACCCCTGGCGGAGTATATTGTTATAAGGTGATGCCTTTCGGGCTCAAGAACGCCGGGGCGACCTAGGCTAGGATGGTGAACAAGCTCTTTGCACCCGTCCTCGGGAAGAGCATGGAAGCGTACGTCGATGACATGATTGTGAAGAGCAAGCAGGCGACCACCCATGCGGAAGACTTAGAAGGAGTTTTCAAGATTATGGAGAAGTATAACCTTCGGTTGAACCCGAAGAAGTGCACGTTCGGAGTTCAGGGTGGCAAATTCTTGGGACATATGGTGAGCACGCGTGGTATTGAGCCCAACCCCGAGAAGGTGCGCACCAACCTTGACATGGAAGCTCCACGAAATGTCAAGGAGGTGCAGCGCTTGACCGGAAAGTTGGCTGCGCTCAGCCGCTTCCTTTCCAAGGTCGCGGACCGAGCCGCTCCGTTCTTCCAAGCGGGGAAGAAGTCCCGAGGGTTCGTGTGGACGGAAGAATGCCAACAATCCTTTGAATCCCTCAAGTCCTACCTCCTCTCTCCTCCGGTTCTCGCGAAACCCGAAGCGGGGGAGACCTTGTACTTATACTTGGGAGTTTCACCCAAAGCTTTGAGCTCGGTCCTAGTCCGAGACGAAGGTGGAGCTCAGCACCCGGTGTATTATACGGCGAAGACGCTGAGGGGTGCCGAGCTCAGATACTCAGTAGCCGAAAAGACGGTCCTCGCCGTGGTTTCAACCGTGCAGCGTCTAACAACCTACTTCCAAGCTCATCTGGTTCAAGTGCTCTCCCAACAGCCCATTGGTGCGCTGCTCAGGAGCCCGAACGCGCCCTCGCGCATGTCCAAGTGGGCGGTGTTCCTTGGAGCTTTCCAGATCGAATTCAAGCCAAGGCCAGCGTTCAAGGGCCAAGCGCTAGCTGATTTCGTGGTGGAGTGCACCGCTCGGGAGGAGCCGAGCCCGGAAGAGCCGGAAGGCGAGGACTGGTGGATAGTTTTTACCGACGGCTCCTCCGCCGCCAAAAACTCGGGGGGTGGAGTGGTAGTCATCGCTCCCGAAGGCTTCAGAGCATACTACTCAATTCGATTCGGTTTCAAGGCATCAAACAATGAAGCGGAATATGAAGCGCTCCTGTGCGGGCTACGCCTAGCAGCCGGGATGAACGCAACAAAGCTAAGGATAAAGTGTGATTCAAAGCTGGTGGTTGGCCACGTCTCAGGAGAGTTTGAGGCGAAGGACGAAAGAATGAAGAAGTACAGAGATACCGCTCTAGAGTTGCTTAAGAGTTTCACCGCATATAGTGTGGAGCAGATCCCTCGGGCAGAGAATGCCGAGGCGGATATCTTGTCGAAGCTGAGCTCGGACACGCCCAAGCATATCAGGCGGATGGCGAACGTGGAAGAGTTGTCCGAGCCGAGCATCCATGCCTTCCCCGTGGCGATGATCTGTGCTCGGCCGAGAGATTGGATGGACGACATAGTTGCCTTCTTGAAGGATGGCGCCCTCCCGGACGATGCAGTAAAGGCCAAGTTGGTCCGCATTAGGGCACCGGGGTACACTTTGGAGGGCGAAAGGCTATACAAGCGAGCGTACAACGGTACGCTACTCAGGTGCCTCCGGCCAGCTGAAGCGGAGCAAGTCATGGAGGAGGTGCACGCGGGGATCTGCTCCGCTCACCAAGGAGCCTATGCGGTATCAAGGAAGATAACCCTCCAAGGATATTTTTGGCCAACAATTGTTAAGGATTGCGCGGAGTTCGTGAGAAAGTGCAAGGTGTGCCAAGAGTTCCAGAAGGTACCGGGGAGGCCTTCAACAAACTATACCCCCATCAGCACAGCTATCCCGTTCGCGCGGTGGGGGGTGGACCTCGTGGGTGCGCTTCCCAGAGGTACCGGGAACGTGCGATATGTCATTGTAGCCATCGACTACTTCACCAAGTGGGTGGAGGCGGCCCCGTTGGCGAGCATCACCGGAGCTCAATGCCAGAAGTTTCTCGCGAAGCAAGTCATCTGCCGCTTCGGCGTTCCCGAACATGTAATCACAGACAATGGAACACAATTCGAATCTAAGCCCTTTAACGACTTTCTCGAGAGTTGGGGCATCAAGCACAGCTATGCGTCGGTTGGGTACCCACAGACGAACGGGCAGGTCGAGAACGCCAACCGGACAATAGTCGACAGGCTGAAGCGAAAGTTGGAAGCTTGTGGAGGGGAGTGGGCAGAGGAGTTGCCCTACATATTATGGACTTTCTGGACCACGCCCCGAAGGGCGACCGGGGAAACTCCGTTCGCTCTATGCTACGGATTTGAGGCAAGGGCACCCGCAGAGATCTCCATCGCAACCCACTGGGAGGCGGTCTTTGACCCCGAGCGCAATGAGGAAGCCCTGATGGTTTACCGCAGGAAGGTGAAGAGCTACCATGATGGGCGCGTGCGCGCGCGGGGGTTTGTTGAAGGAGATTGGGTACTGTGCAAGAGAACGGTGAGCCGCCCCCTAGAAGGAGGAAAGTTTGCCAAAAATTACGAAGGCCCGTACATCATCAAAGAAGCGGTGGGCCCTTCGACATTCCGCCTGCAGACGCCGAGCGGAGGGGACGTGCCCAGGACATGGAATGCCGAGAACTTGGTTAAGTTTTATCAGTAGACCTCTTATGTACATGGACCCCAAAGTGGGAACCCGTAGATCTTTTCGGTTGAACTCAATGGAATGAAGTTTTTTGCGAAAAGAACCTGCTTGAGCACCCGCGCTCGGCGCTCCTCCTTAGGAGGGAAGCTGAGTGCAGACCATACCCGGATGTTCTTCCCAGATGGAGGTCAAACACTCGCGCTCGGCGCTCCCCCCAGGAGGAAGGCCGAGCGCAGACCATACCCGGATGTTCTTCCCGGATGAAGGTCTAACCCTTGTGCTTGGCGTTCCTCCTCAGGAGGAAGGGCAAGCGCAGACCATACCCGGATGTTCTTCCCGGATGAAGGTCTAACCCTTGTGCTTGGCATTGCTCCTCAGGAGGAAGGTCGAGCGCAGACCATACCCGGATGTTCTTCCCGGATGAAGGTCAAACCCTTGTGCTTGGCTTTCCTCCTCAGGAGGAGGGCCGAGCGCAGACCATACCCGGATGTTCTTCCCGGATGGAGGTCAAACACTCGTGCTCGGCATTCCTCCTCAAGAGGGAGACCGAGCGCAGACCATACCCGGATGTTCTTCCCGGATGAAAGTCAAACCCTTGCGCTTGGCGTTCCTCCGCAGGAGAGGCCGAGCGCAGACCATACCCGGATGTTCTTCCCGGATGGAGGTCAAACACTCGTGCTCGGCATTCCTCCTAAAGAGGGAGGCCGAGCGCAGACCATACCCGGATGTTCTTCCCGGATGAAGGTCAAACATTTGCGCTCGGCACTTCTCCTCGGGAGGAAAGCCGAGCGTTGGCCATGCCCGGATGTTCTTCCCGGATGGAGGTCAAACACACACGTTCAAAATAATAACCAAAAAAAACAAAAAACAAAAAACAAAAAAAAATCAAATTCATATCTTATTCATCCCTGAAAAAGGGGAGAGTACATGGCGCAAACATCAAAGAACGGACCAGTGGGCAAAGGCACCAAGGCCAAGGCGTTTGGTCGGAGCACCTCGCCGAGAAGGCGAGCCCGCGCTCGTCCTCGTTTGGGCGACGAGGCGAGGCTAACACGCCTAGGCGGGCTAAATGTGGGCGTGGCCCTGTATGGGCAAGCGCAAGCACCCCGGCAACGGCCGTTCGGCCTCCAAAACAATCGCGGAAATACAATTAAAAGACAAAGCAAAACGATAAAGGCATCACAAACCACGAAGAGTCAAGGGTGATAGTTGCGCGGTGAAAAATACATTGTTCGAGCGCAGAAACAAGCGCAAAAACATTACATCAAAGAAAAAAAACTAAGGGTGGAGTTCATCGGTGGGCCCAGCCGCGTTCAGTTACCGGCGGTGTCCTCGCCCCCGCCATTGGCGTCCTCGTCCTCGGAGTAGTAGATGGATGAGTCAACCTCCTCAGGGTTCTCGCATGGCTTTGGGAGCTCCTTCCCATTTCGGATCCGCTCCAGCAAAACTTCTTGAGCCCGGTGCAGCCCCAGGGAGTAATTGGCTTGCCCCTCTTTGAAAAGGAGAAGCTGGCCAGCGGGAGTTTGAGCCGAGATCTTCAGGAGATCGTCCATGCGGGAGAGAGCCGCCTCCTCAAACGCGGGGGAGGTCTGAAAGGCCTCAATTACATGCTCAGCTTCCTCATCAAGACGGCGTGCCTTCTCCTCAGCAGCAATGCGGGCCTGCTCCGCGAACCGGGCCCGCTCCTCCGCATCAGCGAGCTTCCCCTCGAGGCCAGCCACGTGCTCCTGCAGCCTCCGAAGCTCTTCTTCACCTTTGGCCTTCTCCGCCACATACCACTTGAAGCGCTCCACCAGCTCTGGGGCGCGCATGGCCACCTACAACAGCAGTGAAATTCCGGCAAATTTGTTAGAATCCATCTAAGTGTCGGGCAGAAACACACGCCATACCTGAGCAAAGAATGCTTACCGAGCCCAACTCGAGCAAGAGAGTGGAGGCGAGGTCCCGCGTGGCGGCCGAACTTATCTCCATTCGGTCTGGCGGAGGGATGAAACTCTGCAGAAAACGGCGAGGCTCATAGTCCCCATGCAAGAACGAAGGTTTGAGGGGGAACACCACCTTCACGAAGGCCGGGTTCCCGCAGTCCACCGAGCACGAGGGTGGAGACCTCGCCCTGCTCAGCGAAGCCTCTTCCGCCGAGGAGCTCACGAGGAACGCGAAGAATGAGCGGACCCGTACGAGCCGTCTGCCGCGCCCTCAACCCTCGCCTCCAACAAGAACCGACCTGAGGCGCGCGCGGAATCTGAATTTGTCGAAGAAGGCTAGCCGGCGCCTCTAGTACTAAAGTGGACGTTCTTTTCATTCTCTATTCAAGCTTAGGGGACTTGTTTAACGCTTGCCTCATATTATCCGCCAAAGAATTGAACAAAGAAAACCTGATGGCCCCTCCTCAAGCTGACTCTGGACGACCTGGCGCTTGGGCTCGTCTTCATCATGGAAGACGAACCCGAGCTTGGCGAGAGCTTCGTCGTTCACTAAGACCCCGGGCTCGTAAGGGCCGCCCGAACACAACTTGTCCGTATCAAGAATAGCCTTGGAAGAGGCAAAGGGTTTGGACCGTCTACGAAAAGAGCTGAGGGGAGTGTCTCGGAAGGGGGAGGCCGCCCCCACGGAGACGAAAACAAACGTGGACTTCCAAGTCCTGTTGGATTCCTTCTTCGTTCTAAAAAGTCTCTCTTGCCGCTGGCAGAGGGCGGCAAAAGAACCCCCATCTGACCCGGAAGACTTCGCCACTCGGAACAGGGTCAGTAGGCGCTCAAGGTCGGCCCGCACGCCCATCTCCCGACAACGGATCAAGAACCCCGCTAAGTACCGGTGCGAGTTCGGCACCAATTGACACGGGAGGAAGTCAAAGTGTTTGAAAAAGTCGGTGACCAAGGACTCCAAGGGGAAACGGAAGCCGTTCTCAAGGGATTTGAGATGGATGGCAAAGTAGCCCGGAGGAGCGTCGAAGACCGACTCCTCTGGGGTGGGGCGACGAACGGTCACTCGACAAGTCGCACTTGCACCCGCGGATGAGCGAGTCCACAAGCAACGTGCGCTTTTGGAGGCGGGGCTCAGTTTCCCCGGGAACCTCTATGGCCACGATTTCCTCAACGGAGGGGGAACCCGGCTGCGCCGCTTGACAACCCTGGGCCACGGAACCACGACTGGTGGGCCCGAGCTCGCGCTCGGCCTCGGACGTGCGAACAGAGGACGAATCGATAGACATGAAGTGGTAGGACAGAGGAACTGACCTCGAAGGGGCGTCGCCGGGGAAGAGCGGGAAGCAAAGAGCATCGGCGTGCGAGAAGGGAAGCAGCGAGCGGCGGCGGCGGCGCAAACCCTAATTATCTCCTCTCTCTAGAATGTGAGAATGAAGGAAGCTTTGGGGTTATTTATACTAAATTTGGGCCCGAATAGTGATGGGCGAGACAGGTGTCACGCTTGGGCCGCCACTTGGGAGAAGCGAAGCGCCACAACTGTTCGCGGGGAACTCCAAGCGTCACCACATGCCCGCCAAGCTACGCGTGTTCCCGCAAGCTGACCGCCCACCGTGTCTTCTACTCTCACGCGCTCCGCTGCTAGACGCCACGGAACCCGGAGAGTGGGGGGCTTCTGATGGGGAATAACCCCACACCGGCCTAAGACGGAGATCAGCATAAATTTCCTAAGTATCGGTTTTGAACGTTCCTGCTCAGCTCTGCGCTCCGCTCGTCCTTCCTGCCCGTCTCTGCGCTCCGCTCATCCTCCCTGCTCAGCTCGGGCAACCAAGCCGAGCCCGAGCCCCGCGACAATGACATGCGGAAAGCGATGTTTAACGAAGACTTGAGGAAAGCGATAGGATGAAAGGGACAAGACGTAAGGACAGGTGACGTCCACTAGACGACGGGCATCGATCAGAGAGCTTTGACTTAGCTTATTGTACCCCCTATAAAAGGGGTGGCACCCCTCATTGTAATGGATCCGATTTTTGAAATCAATATACTCCTACTTTGCATTCTCTCTCTCTAAAACTTCTATTAGTTCATACTCTAGGTGGTTTATAGCCATCAGTTTCTTTTGAAAACGTGAATATTAGTGTTAATCTAGAGTTCTTGTGAACCTTAGATTGTGTGCGGAAGTTGGTGGGTAAATAGAGGAGTAATTAATATGGATGGGATAGTTTCACAGTTAATATAATTGCAAGTAAGAGTAAAGATATAAGAGAGAGACACACAAACATTAACGAGGTTCGAAGGTGGGGTAATCCTTCTACGTCCTCAAAATCCACTATGTAGTTGGTTGTTGAATAATGAACCAGCAATTACACTTGTGTGAATTTTTGCACGGTATATCTTCGCAAGGCCAATGTTGCTACTCCACTCATGCTGGCTTTGTTGTTCCTTCGAAGGTCAAGCTTCTTCAACAACTGCAAGGTCCGAACAATAGGACTTGCAAGATCAACTTGTAGGAAAGTTGATCTACCCCCTTTTAAATCAAGAAGTTTGATTAAAAGATGTATCCTTCAACGTGGTGTAGTACTTGAGGCAAGGAAACCTTCAAGTGTTTAGACTATAGCTCTTTGGAAGGAGGAGAAGTTTGCTTCTGGATAAGGAGTTTAGAAATCTCTCTTTATCAAGCTTTTTGGCTAATTGTGAATGAGATAGATGTAGCTTATTGTTGTAATCTTGCTTGCTATCTCATATATTTCATATCTCATATATTTCTCCAGTCTTCCAAGGAAGCTATATATAGCTGGATTGGATAATCTATCCGTTGAATCAAAATAGACTATCCGTTGCATTTGCTGGCTTCAATTTGAATGAAGAGTGAGACTGAGGATTCTTCATTGGAATGGGTGTTTGGACATACCCAATTGTTTGAAGAAGGATTCCTTTTTTCACAGAATCCGTCCTTTAGTTTTTGTTCAAGAATTCTGGACTGTAGCTCTTTATTGAGTGGAGTACTCAGTTTGTCTTCTAGTGCTTGTTTAGGAAATCTGGGCGAGCTCTTCAATTTGAGAAGTACAGACTTTGTCTTCAAGTCATTTGTTCTTGAATCAGCTTAAATATCCTCAATCTAGCCGTTGAAAATCAAGAGATTGATTTTTCCTTACCAACGGGTAGAATTTCTTCATTCAAGACTTAGATAATTTTCTAAGTCTTTTTCTCACTTGTCTGCTTCTGAGAATTAAGGTCTTTCTTGAGGCATCCGGTTCTTCGCTGACAATTCCGGAAAAGTCATTCATAGACTTCCAGGTGAGAAAGAGATCCGCGCTAGTCTTCCGATCGGGATGACTTAGCCTTCAGCGGGTAGTTGCGAGACATCGGTTATTGTAGAGTGTTCCGGATTTGAGGATCTTCAAAGTAATCAACTGCTTTGAGAATTCCTTACTTGTCTATGATATATCCGATCAAGAATTTCAATTTCCATATCACTGAATTTGATTAAGTCTTCAAAGATTGATGATGGCTATAAACCACCGAGAGTATGAAATAATATAAAGTTTTAGAGAGAGAGAGAGTGTGCGCAAAGTGGGAGTATATTGAATTCAAAATTCGGTCCCATTACAAGGAGGGGTGCCACCCCTTTTATAGGGGGTACAAAATACTAAGTCAAAGCCCTCTGATCGAGGCCCGTCGTTTAGCGGACGTCACCTGTCCTTAGGTCTTGTCCCTTTCAGCCT